ATCGTACATGTGTTGTTCCTCGAGCACTTTCCTTTATCTCCTCATGATGTCATTGTTGTGTCTCAGTCATAAGATTAAATAAAATAATAATTAGTGAGCTTATCAAGGAATATCAACAAGAAAATATCATTGAAATAGGCGTGAAAAGCTTACTTACTTTAAGGCTATTCACGCTTCAACGAAGAGTAGATCAACTAGTGCAGCAGAGATACATATAGCATGTCGCCCCTAAGATGCTACAGCTTTACAATAACACTCTATGGATCTGCACTACCCATAGAGTTACCTTAAAACACTTTTCTTTACCCAAGAACATTTAGAGGATAAAGCAAAGTAAGAAAAATAGGAGAATGTGGAGGAACATACTTTTTTGAGACTTTAAGGGGATTCACGCCTCTACGAAGAGTAGATCAACCGGTGTAGCAAAGATACATATAGCATGTCGCCCCTAGGATGCTATAGCTTTATAATAACACTCTATGGATTTGCACTACACATAGAGTCACCTTACTCGAAACATTCTTCTTTAGCCAAGAACATTTAGAGGATAAAGTAAAGTATGAAAAATAGGAGAATGTGGAGGAAAATACTTTTTTGAGCAAAATGACTTGTCCTATTTATAGGACTCATGGTCTTGTAACTCCCATTTGTAGATTAATGATAGGAATAAATTGGGCAATTATTATGTAATAATGTGCCCTTAAGTAGGCTAATTAACCTACAATGGCTAGTTTGACCAAGTCCTTAATGGGACAATAAATTCAATTTATAAAATATATTATTTTCTTTTTTCTTAAAATATTTAGGTTCCAACAACATGTTCCAAAAACCTTTGATAACTGATAAATAATAAATGGCAAAAAATTGCAGTTCATAAAATTAAAGCATTAAATCTCTCAAGTCTAAAGTGAATAACGGTCATACCTCAACAGCTCAACCTAGTGGAAAGTGGTTTTGGCATTTGTTGGAAATAGAAAAGAAGAAGAATAATTTGAAGAAAGGTTTATTGTTTTCTTGAATAATACTGTATGTACAATGACCTATATGTGTGCTTAAAAAGAGAATATTTTAAGGTATAAAATATACAAAGAGAATATTTTAAAGTATAAAATATTGACAATAATTGTAAATATAATTGTGTTCATATGTTAACATCCCCCCTCAAACTGAAGGTGGTTGTGATGAAACCAACTTGAGTTTGGAAAGAAGAGTACGAAAACGTCCAAGAAATGAGTCTTGGTAAAGAGGTCTGTTGGTTGATCAATGGAGCCAATGAAAACCAAATGAACGGTTCCTTGTACAACATGATGGTGAACAAAGTGACAATCAACCTCAATGTGTTTAGTGCGTTCATGGAAACATCATTATGAGCAATCTACATTGCACTTTGATTATCACAATATAAATCAGTAGAAGAAGGTTGAGGAATGCCCATATCTTCAAGAAGCCACCGTAATGAAAGAAGTTCTGATGTGGTATCACCGAGAGCTCTATACTCAGCTTCAGTACTAGAGCAAGAGGGAATAGCTTGTTTTTACTCCGCCAAGAGATAAGAGAATTACCAAGGAAAAGACAGTAGCCAGTGGTAGATTGATGATAAAAAAGATCACTAGCCCAATCAGCATCAGAGTCAGCGCGAAGCACAAGGGTAGAGTTGGTAGAAAAATGGAGTCCATGAAATAATGTTCCCTTATCATAGCGAATAATGCGAAGTACTGTTGCATAATGAGTAGAGCAAGGAGCAGCCATAAACTAACTAACAATGTGAACTGCGTATGCTATATCAGGGCGTGTTTTGGTAAGATAAACCAGACTACCAACCAATTGCCCATAACGAGTAAGATCAGAAAGTGGAGAGTCATCCATAGGTGTAAGCTTCACATTATGTTCAAGAGGTGTAGAAACACTCTTACCATCATTGAGTTCAGCTTTAGAAACAAGATCGAAGGCATACTTTACTTGAGAAAGCAAGTAGCCATCAACTGAAGAGGTGACTTCAAGCCCTAGGAAATAGCTCAAAACACCAAGATCTTTCATCTCAAATTTCTGACTGAGGGATTGCTTTAACTCCTCAACACCTACAACATCATCTTCAGTAATAATCATGTCGTCAACATAAAGAAGTAAAAGAACCATACCCCAAGTAGTCTCACAAATGAATAGAGTTGTATCATGTGGACTGGAAGTAAAACCAAACTCACTCACAGTAGCACTAAACTTAGCATACCAAGCTCGAGGGGATTGCTTCAATACGTATAATGTGCGTCGCAATTGGCATACCTTATTTGGAGGATGGTTGAGCCTAAGAGGTGGTTTCATATAAACTTCTTCTTCTAGATCACCGTTAAGAAAAACATTTTTAACATCCATCTAAAACAATTTCCATCTTTGTATAGTAGTGATAGTAAGCAAACTGTGCACATATGTGAGATGAGCAACTGGAGCAAATGTTTCCTCATAGTCTATTCCATACTCCTGTGTAAAACCCTTGGCAACCAAGTGTGCCTTATAACACTCCACAAAACCATCAGATCTTGTACACCCATTTATAGCCTATTAGAGACTTTTCAACAGAGAGATCAACTAAATCTCATGTACGAGTATTCTCAAGAGCCTATAATTCATCTTACATAGCTTGTTGCCAAAGAGGGTTAGAAGAGGCCTCTTGATAGGATTGAGGCTCATGTAAAAAAGTAATAGCAGAAAAACAATGATAATCACGAAGGCAGCTGGGAGGGTTTCTTACCCAAGTAGGATGACTCGAGGATGGGACAACAAGCTCATTTGTAGGCTCAAAAATATCATATGCAACATCAACAAGTGATACAGATGAAGAAGTAGACGAAGGCTCAGAATTATCTAATGCATTACCAGTAGGCAGATCATTTTTTACAAAACTAGTTGGAGCATGTGGTGTGGCATTGTAGAGCTCATCAGATGTACCTACATCAGAATCACTAGGAAATAGCTCAATAGAAGGATTAGTAAAAAATGGAGGTTGATGAGAGGATAACACTTTGAAGTTTGACAATGATGATAACATAGTGTGTTTCCAAAAGACAATATGACGTGAAACTCGGAGTTTTTGTGACATAAGATCCCAACAGCGATATCCTTTTTGTGTAATCCCATAACCCAAAAAATAGCATAATCGAGCTCTAGGCTCTAACTTGTTATGTTCATGAGGTGAAAGAAGAACAAAACATGCATAACCAAAAACCTTAAGAAGATTATAGGCAGGAAGAATACCATGTAAACACTCACATGGAGACTAGTTATTAAGGACTGATGATGGAAAGCAATTAATAAGATAAACAGCTGTAAAAGCAGTTTCACCCCAAAATCTCTCTGGACAAGATGATGAAATGAGCAAAGCATGAACGGAATCAATGATGTGTCTGTGTTTGCATTCGGCTCACCCATTTTGTTCAGAAGTGTAAGGACAAGATTGTTGTGTCAATATGCCTTGTTCTTTCCAAAAGGACTGAAGTTTAGTACCAAGACATTTAGTAGCATTATCAATTGTCAAAACTTTGATAATTTTAGAGAGTTGAGTTTTGATCATGGTAGCAAAATCAATATAAATTTGTGATAATTCACAACGATTTTTCATAAGGTATATCTAGGTAAAGCGAGAATGATCATCAATAAATAACACGAAGTACCTAGAACCTCCCATGGTGGGTGTAGGAGATGGACCCCAAACATCAAAATACATAAGATCAAAAGGAGTAGTAGAATGAGAATGACTATTCGAAAAAGCTAAAACTGGTTGCTTTGCAGATTAACATGACACACAATGCAAGGATTCATCCGAAACTGACCTTAATAAACCACGAGAGGTAAGTGGACAAAATTTACCAACTAAGGTGTGTCCAAGCTGTGAGTGCCACAAATGGAGAGGAGAAACGTTATTAGCAATACAGGCTTGCAAAATTTGTTGGTATGGAATTTGTAGAGACTCTAATTCAATAGTACAAAGCAAGGTTTGGATGAATCGATTATTTGGAAATGATGGTGTATCCATTTTATTATCAAGAATATGCAGATAGTTGAGCTCAAACAAACGCCCCACCTTGCGACCAGTTTCAAGAAGTTGTCCTGTCCATGGGTTCTACACACGACAACCATGAGCAGAAAATATTATTTCAAGACCAAGTTCACATAATTGACTAATAGATAAAAGACTATAACTAAGTTTTGGAACTAAGAGGGCATTTGGTAAAGTCAATGACTTTATAGAAATATTGCCAACGTGACTAACACTCATAGGGGAACCATTAGTAGAATAAATATCTGGAAAGGAATTATTTGGTGACATTGAAGAGAAATGCATAGTAATTGAAGACATATGGTTACAACAACCAGAATCAAAATACCAAGGTTTGATACCTGGAGTAGTAGATAAGCCAGTAGGAGCATTAAAAAGATTTAATATCACCTGTTTTAGGGATTCAAGATTGACATTAGGTTGGTCTATCACTTCTTTGGCAACCATATCAGTAGCAAGATGAGTTACAGTCTTTTCAAAACTCACCATAAAATCAGTAAAACTCTCAATACTGAAAAACTCTAAAAAATATGAAGAAATAGATGTTAAAATCGAAATGATAAACCAACAAAATACCTTAAAAAGGGCTTGAGAATCGAGGATAAACAATCCAATCTGCAGGAGAAGAGATCCCAATAATAAAGTTTCAGTTCTGAAATAGAATTGAAAATCCAACTCCAAAAACCAAACAGCGATAATAAGAGAAAAGAATCATGAGCTTATAGCTCTGATACCATGTTGGAAATAGAAAAGAAGAATAATAATTTGAAGAAAGGTTTATTGCTTTCTTGAATAATACTGTAAGTACAATGACCTATATATAGGTGTTTACAAAGAAAATATTCTAAAGTATAAAATATACAAAGAGAATATTTTAAAATATAAAATATTTACAATAATTATAAATATAATTATGTTCACATCTTAACTATTTTATCACTACAACCTCTTCCTTTGATTTTGTCTGCTTCACCTCAACCAGGCAGTATCCTTTTGAAATTTGGTTGATTTACCATGCACCAGAAGTACCTCTCGACGTGAGGGAATTTGGAGGAAAGTAAAGCGCTCTTAGTCATGACCTGACTAAACCCCAGGTAAAGGTTGCACTTCATAACATGGTCAGCAAGGATCATTGAATGGCCAATTCCCGACCAGATAGGTGTCGGAAGCGAGGTGAGGATATAAGGCGCCCCATGCTCTTTTAAGGGCAGCAATTGCAGCTACCTCAGCCTCCGTTCAAAACAATCCATAAAGTTTAAATAACTTGAATAGAAAGTCACTAAAGATATGTCTGTCAAAAAAAAAAAAAGTCACTAAAGATATGACAGTGATCATATATAACTTAGGAAATTATGAGTTTTTTCAATTTTAATCGTAAATCTCCTAAGACCATAAAATGTGACCTATGGTTCGTAGGATACATTTGTACTGAAATTCGTTTAGTATAAAATAGGTTTATCCCCATGACCAACCTTTCTAATTTTTAAAACAGGCTAAAAATGTAACTCTTGACCCTTAATGAATTTTTTTTATGTCATAATTTATTAAAAATATGTTAATTTTTTTTATAT